GGGGCCGCCCCCCGCCCCCCGCCGCTGCCACGCTGGCCCGGGGAGGCCGCGCACTGGTGCCACCGCGCTGGCCTGGGGGGCTGCGTGCAGGCGCTGCAGCCACGCTGGCCCGGGGGCAAGACTTCTTAAATAAGACTCCCAAAGCACAGGCAATAATCCCCAAAATAGACTAGTGGGATTACCTCAGATTAAGAAATTTCTGCACAGCAAAGGACACAGTAATTAGTGTGAATCAACAACTCTGGGAATTGGAGAGTCCTTTTTGTAAACTATGCCTCAGATAAGGTACTGATAACCAGAATACACAGGGAACTTAAACAGCTTATCAAAAAGGCAAACAAACCAACAAGCAAACATTATTAACACAATTAAAAAATGGGAAAAGGAGCTGAATAAAAACTCTCTAAGGAAGACATACAAATAGCCATAAAGCATATGAAAAAACATTCAACATCCCTCATTGTAAAGGAGATATAGATCAAAACCACAATGAGATATCACCTAATCCCAGTCAGAATGGCAAAGATTTTTAAAAAATGATAAATGCTGGTAGGAATGTGGTGAAATGGGAACCCTTCTACAATGCTGGTGGGAATATAAATTGGTCCAGCCACTGTGGAGAACAATATGGAGGTTTCTCAAAGATCTACAAACAGATTCAGCAATTTCACTCCTGAGTATCTACCAAAGGAATGGAAAAACACTCATTTGGAAAAGTGCTTGCACATCTATATTTATTGCAGCATTATTCATGATTGCATTATTCAGCAACCAAAATATCCATTAACACATGAAATATTATTCAGGCATTAAGAAAAAAGACTGCAGCAAAATATAAGCCATGCCCTGTCATGAAGGAACTTCATTGTTTAACTGGGAAGACAAGATATCTACACCTGAAATGTTAAGACTGAACCTGTCAGATAAAATCAAGGAAAACAATCTTACATATTTAGTGTGTTAGAAGACAGGTCATCTATAGGGTCCCTGCGTTTTGTTAGCTTTGGGTTGGCCACCTCCTGTGATCACACACAGTGGTTACTCACGGCCTCTGGTGTTCCTTTTCCTTTATAGTGATGTGACACCATTTCTCCCTTTTAAGGAAATATATTTTCCAACCTATAGACCAGCAAATGTTTCAGAGGAGATTCTTTGAGAGAAAGGCAATTAAGCATAGTTGCATTCAGTATAAAGGTAACCCTCAGGCTCAACCACAGTAGGGCAGTGTGCTCCTTAGGGTTGAGGCTGGGCACTCTAAATCTATATTACATATAGTTTGGCCCAGAGTGACTACTCAGAAATAATGTTGCAATGTCCATAGGTTATTTTCCAGGCCTAGGGATAAGTGGTGGGTAGGTGAGTGGGAATATCTAACTTATTCTAGTGATTAAAGTCTCATTGAATTAATGATACATCTGAAACTTTTGAGATTTAATTTACTGTATACCATACTAGTTTATAGACAGAGATCCAGGCAGAGTCTAGCTGGCATGAAACCTTCCTTGGCTGGCCCTACATCTAACATTCTTAAAAAGGTTTGTCCTGCAAGTTTATAAGATTGGAATTTCCATGTAGCTTTTGCATGTCTCTAGGGAAGAGTTTTCCATGATTTATTATATTCTTTTCTTTGTTGTCTGAGAGCTTTAAACCTCCACAGAGATCTGATCCCATGGGTGACCCCTGGGAGGTTATAGGCACATTCAAGGAGTGTGAGTCATTTTATAGCATGTGACGACTCCTGTTTATTTCCTTTCTGGTTCAGTCAATGGCAGGTGTCTTCCCTTTCCTTTTGGCTCAGAGAAGCTGTGGTCTTTGAATTTGGGGGTCCCTGTTCCACAGTGGGATCCAACAGCCTGCACTTGTCACCAGCTTCCAGGTTCTGAGCATGTTTGGCCTTTCTGTTCAACCCAGAGAAGAGACTAGGAGACTATGGGAAATTAGCAGGGGGCAGGTGAGTGGCCTTTGTGTTCAACACAGAGAAGAGACTAGGAGACTATGGGAAGTTAGCAGGGGGCAGGGCAGGTGAGTGACTCCTCTAGGCACCTTTGAGCCCCTGAATGCAGGTGCTTTTACTTAGCTTCTGATGTACACCAGTGTTGGAAACCGTCAAGCACATAGTCAAAGAGCATGCTGGTGTATGGAAACAATGAATACCGAGCCTAGAGTAATTATCTCTGACTTCAGTATAACCAATACTTTCTTCAGCATTTCCCCAGTTTGTAATCTAATTTTCACCCCCTCAAGTACTCTTTTACACAGTCTTTGTAGTATCAACACATTTTTCAAGGGTGAAAATTAAGCAACAGAATTCAGTTAATTAAGTTCACATAGACACATCTATCACTCCTAATATAAACTTTGCCATTTGATAATAGTTTTAAAGTAAACAAATTTGACTCACTTTTCAAACGAAGAAGGCTAGATTTACCCATTCTTCTATTTATCTACCCACCAATCCATCCACTCATCCCTTAAGCACATAAGTATTAAAGTTGTGCATTATCATGCATTGGAAAAACAAATCAAAATATATATTACTGACTATCAAAAAGCTATTAATATGACAAGGTTGGGTGACAAGTAAATATATACCTTCAATAGAATGTGATAAAGAATATAATGAATTAATATAAAGCATTTGGGAAACATTAATTGGAGAGCAATTCCATTGTTTTTATTATTATTATATATATTAATATGAAGTTATTTTTATATAATAGAAGATTTTGGAAAAATATTTCAAAAAGATAAAATCAAATCTGTTAAGCTATTGAGGACAAATAGAAATCATTATTTCTAGAAAATGGTGATATATTAAAAAGAGGTAACATGTATTCATAGCATAATTGCTGATAATAAATGTGGAAGGATAGATTAGCCTTTAACTATTCTTAAATAGTTAAATTAATTGTATTTGCATATCCAGTTTCTTTCTAATAGCTTTTTAAAGGCATTTTTTACATCTCTGTTTCTAAAGCTATAGATGATTGGATTAAACATGGGAAAGACAACAGTATAAAACACTGCAACCACCTTATCAGTGTCTAGAGAATAGCTGGTGGTGGGACGTAAGTACATAAACAGGAGTGTCCCATAGAACAAGGTGACTGCTATGAGATGGGAAGCACAAGTGGAGAATGTTTTGCTTCTACCACCTGAGGACTTGATGCTCAAAACAGTGATGAGGATGCAGAAGTAAGAGATACATATGACCATGAAAGTGCTTGTCTGGATGAAGCCACACAAAGCAAAGAGCAGAAGCTCATTGATGTGGGTATCTGCACATGACAAAGCCAAGAGAGGAGGGATGTCACAGAAAAAGTGGTTGACAATGTTGGAGCCACAGAATGGCAGCCTGAATGTGAGGCAGACATGCACTAGTGAAGTTAAACTTCCACTGAAGTACGCCAACACAATGAAACCAACACAGACCCTCCTAGACATCAGTGTGGAATAGAGCAGGGGGTTACAGATGGCCGCATAGCGGTCATAGGCCATCGCTGCCAGGATAAGGCACTCAGCATCAGCAAAACACGCAAAGAAAAACATTTGCAGTGCACAGCCATAGGGAGAGATGCTCTTTCTGGATGCTAGGAAATTTACCAGCATTTTAGGAGTGATTGATGTGGAATAGCTGATGTCTAAGAGAGACAAGTTGCTAAGAAAATAATACATAGGGGTTTGAAGGTTTGAATTGATATTGACTAGGATAATTAAGCCCATATTTCCCACCATAGTTAATACATATACCATGAAAAACACCAAGAACAGTGTGACTCTGAAAGGTAGATAATCTGTGAATCCAACAAATAAGAACTCAGTTGGCATGGTATAATTACTCTTCAACATCTTCTTATTTTTCTTATTTTTCTTATTGATAAGAGATGGTATCAGAGGACATGACTTGGCTTGGGTGATGGACAAACCAAAAATATCCTTATTATTCCTTCAACAAAAGTAAACAGAAGGTTAATAAAATGGAACGCAAGTATATGGCATTTTTGACAGTATTTTTGTTATTACAATTCTTAAAAGATAATTACATATCAGGATTTATATCAGAAACTGTTATTCAGGAGGTTGTATTTTATGATGTAGTTACTTGCTAAAAACTATTTATAAAATGATGATAATAGGCCCAGCAGGTAATGTAGTGGTTAAGGTGCTAGACTCCTACATGGCTGACTGCAGTTTGAACCCAGACTCAGTGGCTTAAAAATCATGCTGAACACATGGGAATGCATGATCAAAATCCCAAGAAGAGAATAAAAGAAAAGGAATGACATCATAGCCATCTCTTGTGGGATGGTGATTTCTCACTTTCCTTCTCTCTTAACTGTCTTTCATCTCTCCTGTAACTGTATATGCCTTATGGCAAAAAAAAAAAAAAAAAAAAAGGCATTTCATAGTTGTGTCATTGTTCTTCAGAAGTTTTTATCCAGATAATAATGAATATGGCTCATGAGATGAGATTTGGTAGAATAATGAGAGTTGGCAAAATCATTAGAGATAAAGGATTTGGTAGAAAAATGAGAGTTGGCAAAATCGCTAGAGATAAAGCTATGTTTCTCCAATCTTACAGTCACAGTCTTTTAAAGGAGAGTTGAGAAAAATTCAGGAAAATAATTCAATCTTATAGTCACAGTCTTTGAAAGGAGAGTTGAGAAAAATTCAGGAAAATAATACTCAAAGCTAAAATATATAATTCACAGAATATCTGTGATCTTAACAAAATCCCAGGAAGAGAAGGAATTACAGTGTAACCATCTCCCTAGAGGTGATTTTTTACTTTTCCAATCTCTCTTTGTTTAGCTCTACAAGCACATGCACCTTATGGCAAAATATGAAAATAAAAAAATAAATAAAATTTTATGTGCATAAAAATAAATAAAATTTCTTGACAAGAAATTAATTGATCCTCTTTTGTTTCTATTTTTATTGTCTTGATTTCTCAAAATATCCAGGCAATTCTTAAGATTTAGCTAATTTTTCACATCAAGAATACATGATGGAGCCAGCAGTTAGCGTAATGGCTATGTCGCTGGACTCCCACATAGTTGGCCGGGGTTCGAGTCCCGGACATGGTAGCTTAAACTCACACCGGGCGCATGTGCGTGCGTGCCCAAGATCCCGAGAGGAGAATGGAGGAGAAGGGATTGCGGTGTGGCCATCCCCCCTGGGGGGTGATTTCTCGCTTCCTATCTCTCTGTCTCTCTCTGTCTGTCTGGCGAGCGCACATGCCCTATAGCAAAAATATCTCCAAAAGACAGGGAGGTAGTGTTGCTATATTTTGATCAACTAGACCAGGGAGAAATGTTCATATATTGAAATGATCACCTTGTAAGCTAAATAATGTAATTGAATGTATTAAAAAATGTAAATAAAAAATTAAAAAGAAAGAAAATTAAAAAAAGAAAATAGAAAAAAAGGAAAAAAAATACATGCTCTGTGGTCTCTTGTACAAATAAGACATTTATGTAAATATGTGCTTCTGTCTGTGTTTATACAAATGCACTGTTCATTTATTTTATTCTTGACACTATGTTCTACGCCCAGCCTCACACTGCCCCAGATCATAGCCATGAAATATGACATATGTAGTGAGGTCATCTAGAAGAAAACCTGGAACCCAGTATGTCAAAGTATAGCATATTTAAGAAGGTCTTCACTCACAAACCTGGAAGACTCCACATAGGCCAGCCTCATTGAGCATTGTTTCACTGTTGCACCACCTTCTAGCTCCATTCACACGATGCTGGCAAGTACAACATTTTTATTCCTATCTGTAATTGTTATTTGCCACTGTCAAGATTTATTCTTTCTTTATTTATTTCTCTTTTTTTTCTCTGAAGTATAACAGTGACAACAATATTTGGCTGGAGGGCTCAGAAAATTTAGAGTGCTTTGGCAAGCGGCTATTCAGTATGCATTTATGAATGACTTCTACATTGAGACTATGTAGATAAACATATGGTAGGATCAGAAGGAAAAATCACCAAGAACAACAATAACAAAAATAAGATGTATGTTAAAATACATTGGGGATGAAATTTTCATCAGGAAATTAGAGATCTGGATTATTAGAATTGTCCAAAATGAGCAACACTGTAATGAAGGGAAACAAATAATGAACTTGATAGGTAAAGAATATAAGGTGTGCACTTGAAACCCGAATATAATATATTCTATAATACTGCAAGAAGAAAATACTAGGTAAGATAGGAAAATGTCATTTTATTATTTATTTATTTATTTTTGACAGAGGGCATGTGCACTTGCCAAAGACAGAAAAAGTGAGAGGGAGAGGAGGAAAACACCTCCACTGGGGCATGGACACATTACAATCCTTTATCATCCATTTCTTCATCCTGTTTGGATTTGGGGCTTGCAGACATATATATCCTATATGTGTTTTTTAAGTTTCTGGGGACAAACTCAAACTATATGGCTGGCCATGTAGTATCCATCTTCCTTAAACATCGGACAATGAGATTGCCCAGTCAAATGCCATTTCTAAGTGTCATAGAATTTTCAAGTTCTCAGTCCTAAGTTTAATTTTACTTTTTCTCTCTCACTCTCTTTTTCCTGAAAAAAGTATAGGGTTCTGTGGCTGAAGATTCAACAGAAGAAGAGACAAAATGAGAGAAAATACCAAGAAGATATTTGTATAAGCTTAAATGGAAGATTTAACAGAAATGTAATAAAGGCACAAGATAGCAATTAAATAACATTAGTATGACTGTGAATGATATCTAAATGTCTATAAATTGTATCTAAAGAGTAAAAGACAATGAGTAAGTTGGAAATATTTTAACTTAGATGATGAACCAACACAGAAATAATGGCTGAAATATAAACTAAATTTAATAATCAATAAGAAAAAGTATACTTTCTCCGAGAAGTAGTGACAAGAGCAGAAAGAGTGACATAAGACAAATACATTGGAAAGTAAATAGAACACTTTAAAATTTAGTAGTAGACAAATATGTATATATTCATATTTTTGGTTCTAAAATGGATAAACTATGAACTATTTCTAGTATGAGTGAGGGGGTATGGTAAACATTTTCTCATACAGTGTTGGTTGCAATAAAATTAGATCCAAACTGGGTAAAAAAATTAGCCTTATGTGTTAATAGTTTAAAATGTGGACATGTTTCTTTCATTGTCTTTAAACTAAATTTAATAATCAATAAGAAAAAGTATACTTTCTCCGAGAAGTAGTGACAAGAGCAGAAAGAGTGACATAAGACAAATACATTGGAAAGTAAATAGAACACTTTAAAATTTAGTAGTAGACAAATATGTATATATTCATATTTTTGGTTCTAAAATGGATAAACTATGAACTATTTCTAGTATGAGTGAGGGGGTATGGTAAACATTTTCTCATACAGTGTTGGTTGCAATAAAATTAGATCCAAACTGGGTAAAAAAATTAGCCTTATGTGTTAATAGTTTAAAATGTGGACATGTTTCTTTCATTGTCTTATACTGAATCTATTTCTATGTCAAAGACTTGTATAATGTCAAAGATGGTATAATTAATCATTAAAATATGTGTAGAAATATATTTGAGGACAAAAGCAATTTCTTTATGTATTAGCAAGGAAAGTAAGAGATTTTTTTGCTATAGGATATGTGCATTTGCTGGAGAGATAGAGACAGACAGAAAGTAAGAAATCACCCTCCCCCAAAGGGGGGATGGCCATGCTGCAATCCCTTCTCCATTCTCTTCTCAGGATTTTGGGCACACATACACACATGCCTGACATGAGTTTCAAGCTTCTCGGTCCAGGACTTAAACTGTCATCAACTACATGGGAGTCCAGTGATGTAACCATTATGCCATATCTTGGTCTCTTTATGATTTTCTGTGAACTAGAACCATGGTTTATTCTCATATACTACCTAATTATCTGTAATGATGATGATAAAAACAATAAATAATTTATAGAAATTATGGAGGGTGGCAAAGATATTTGCTAAGCACTTGATGTGCATCATTTAAAAAATCTTTATTTTTATCCTTTGAAGTAGAAATTTTACTTTTTGTGTATTTGCAGATTATGAAACTGAAACATAGAGATATTAACTTGATCAAGTTCATACAGTCAGGTCCCAGTTCTCCTTTCTTAGTTGAAATACCATCATGGCTGTGATGTTGAAATAACTTCTGCTGTAAGAGGGGTTTTTTTCTTTTTTCTTTTTGAGCAATTTTTGCTATAGGGTTTGCATGCTAGCTGGAGAAATAATCAGAAAGTCAAAAATCACCAATCACCCTCCAGGAGAAATGGCCACTGTGCAGTCCTTTCTCTTCCATTCTCCTCTCGGAATCTTGGACATACACACACATGTGCTGGGCACGAGTTTTTAGCCACCAGGTCCAGGACTCTAATCTCAGTCAAATAGGTGGGAGTCCAGCACCTATTATACCATCTGCTTGTCCAAAAGGTTTTATGGTAGGTTATTATAAAATGTTAGTGCTGAAAGAATCTACAGCATTGGTCATATCTGCACTTTAATTTTTCAAACACAGTATCTAAATCATATAAATAAGTTTATCCAACAAGAAACATCAATTAGTTTTTTTTTTTTTTTAAAGCGCATGCGCTCGCCAGAAAGACAGAGAGAGACAGAGACAGAAAGCGAGAAATCATCCCCGGGGGGATGGCCACGCTGCAATCCCTTCTCCTCCATTCTCCTCTCGGGATCTTGGGCACACATGCACACGCGCCTGGCGTATTTTAAGCCACCCAGTCCAGGACGCGAACCACGGTCGACTACATGGGAGTCCAGCGACATAGCCATTATGCTAACTGCTGGTTCCCATGTTTTTAATAATTGTA